AGGGCCGAATACTACCAGGTTGCCTAGGCAAAGGCAGGTGAATTCTCTTGAGGAATCTAAGACAGGAGCTTTCGGCTAGTCAAATGCTGATCCCCAAGGCAGGAGCGGTGTCCAGTTCATCCGATCATACGTCCCAGGTGCCCAATACACCTCGAAATCAGCCCCCAGATAACCTACAAGGTTATTTTCCCTTTCCCAAAATACTTGTTTGGTTTTTATGGTTGAGTACTGATTTATATATAAACAGCGTGATATTTATTGTCATGTATTTGACATGAACATAATTTCTTCAACCCTCAAACTCACATATTAGCTTGCCCACCTCACTGTTTATTCCAGTTCGCTCCAACGTCTGCAAATAATACACGATATGGCAAACGTTATCTATGCATTCGTACGACGTGTACTAGACACCTCAAACGTTGCAGTGAAATGATTTTGCTCAGTGGAAAACTATCTGATATTAACACACATCGTATCGCTATTCATGTGATGCTGCGCATACAACGGTTATCGGGGACAGGTAGTGGTTAGGCATGATCTGCTCGGAGAGGCCAACATCCGCAGCCATAGAGCAACATGAAACATACCGTTGAGCAATGCACACACCCTTTCAGGGCAAAAGATATGTTGCACCTTAGCCAGAGATATTACAGACTAGCAAACGTCAATCTTGATTTGATTAAACACTGGGATATCTCCTCGTCCACACTTCCACCGGCCGTTATGCAATTCCCGATGTAGACAAGGATTTCGATTAATTTAACGGTGTCATTAACCAACAAAAGTACAAGAACAAGTTTCTGTTAATCTTGAAGCAACACCTTGCACTTTGAGGTTGCAAAGAACGAGCAATCTCAATTGCCAAACGACTCAACATATTTTGAATCGCCGGTGAGTTGTCACTGAGTAAGGTAATGTCATCGGCATTAGTTTAGTCTATGACTCTACCTCCAAAGATAAGAAGTTTCCAGTGTGACCGATTCTACAGTGATTTAACACTTGATACGGTGGTTTTTCGCCCCATTCGGTTCACCTCTCATGACTCCGTGGTGTGGATCGCAGCGTTAGAGCTACAATTTGATTATACGAATGTACGGGGAAAAAAACACGCTGTTCGCGTCGGTACTATAAACCATTCATGGAGACCAGTTTTGAATCTTCCTCAAGATTCTCCGTTTGACAAACTGAAATAGGCCATTCTCGAGGCACCCGTCCCATTGAAGGAGGAGCGGTTGCGAAGACCACTAGCGCGTCATCTTACTCACCTAAGGTCACTTGCTAGATCTCACGGTACGCATTCGGACATCGTCTGGAAGCTATGGAATGAGGCATTTCCGGTCCGTATGTAGACCACGGTAACCGGTCTGCTAGAGGATACTTCCCAAGATAAGATTGCCTCAATCGTCAACAAGATCCGAATCGGCAATATTGAGCCTTTGCTCGTTGCCACGACTTCGCATCAGCCCAAGCCCTCGCAGCGTGGCAAACCGCGATGTATTCACGACCACCCACGCCAACCGGTCTCTCAGATTCGGCGTGAACGTGCACGCCGTAGATGCAACCGGGATGCTCAACCCACTCAGTGGACATGGGAGTCCAGTGCCAATATTTGTGAACACGATACACTTCAGTACAGCATCACCGACTTTGCACTGACAGTACCGAACATGTTTTTCACAGTTTCTAACAGAGGGCTGCTGTAGAATAATAGCGTGCACGGTGAGATTCGGACAATATCATACATTTGTCAGACATCCCTTTCCAAGTGAAGACATTTATTATTCGCTTTCGATCCGCTTGCACGTTACTGCGCTCGCTGTTTTTTGTTGCCTCTATGCCCTAACGCAAATTTTCGGCAGCGCATATCGGTGCATTTCCTGTGCCAAGGAACTTCAATGGACGTCTTCTAGTAACTTGGATGTTTGCGAGTCAAGGAACCCGTTTAGAAGCTCGTCAAGACTGGCCGCAGTTGAGGCACTTCAAATTCAACGTTGCCGTTCTTTACGTTAATAACGCTTTTCGCAGGATATCATCTATAGCAAAGCCCCGACCTATCCAGGACAGTCTTAATGAACTTCACGATCAATCTGTGACCCGATCCCTTGTAATAAACAACAGTAAGTGCACTGAAGTTCCATTTAGTCTAAAAACCGGTCCCGGTTATCTTTAATCAGATAATAACCTTCCTGAAAAAATCAAAGCATTCACAAATCTGTATCTGTTAAACAACTTGATGTCACCCTAACCCATAACCTGTCCTGATCTGCGGATGTCATCAACGTCTTCACAAAAGATCAAAAACTGTCTTTTTGTGCTTACAGGCTCAGCAAACTGGCCGTATCATATTATCTTATTTCTGACTTTGTGGTTGCCTGCATTCTTCCAAACTGACTATACTCCTCCTTGATTTTCAGCCCTGGACTAAAAGAAAAAGACTTCACTTTATTTTCGAGATCCCTCAAATTTCTGTTCCGCTACAGTAGAGTCGACAGTCATTTTCGTTGATTTCTTTATTTCCAAGCATCTTGACGCCTGTGATACATTCATAGATAGGATAACACGTGATTGAGGGCACTGTCTGCATCAAGATATTGCTAAAGCCCGGTCGAATTCCCGAACCTGCTTCAAATACCAACTGCTTCCTGCGCGTACGTCCACATATAGAAACAGCTTCATTCCATACCTTGCTCGGTTACTGACTATTAGTCAGAATATTCTCACCCACTTCAGGAAAAAACCCAGGCAATAATTTTTCTCTCGTTTACTAAAGTGTAGAATTTCTTATATTGTCTTTTTTGTTTGCAGTTGTTATTATCTATCCAGTGCAAAAATCGTAAATTGCTGAAAATTCACCCTTTGGGTGCATAAAGCGTTTCTTGAATTGGATACAGAGAGATAGAGCAACCCTCTCGCATCCCACTGGTGACAGGAAACAAGGGAGAGAGAGAGTTCACCATAGTCCCCCGAGTGCTTTCAGAAGCAGGACATACGTCTCGGGTACTGCCTGTTTCGGCAAACAAGTCCACGGGAGAAGGTGATCGATGGACGCGAACATCGCTCTGATGTCCAAAAACACGACAATAGTTTGTCGCATATGTGTGGCCGTGTAGAGCTTCAGTGAGAGAAAAAGGTGTGTTACGTGGGGTGAAGTGAACTTGATGTGCACGGGAATGATAGCAACCGAACAAATATAACTGGGCATTGAACAGATTGTGATTTTAAAAAAACGTAGTAAACATGCGGTACACACTGCAGTTCAGATAGAGCCAATATGACCTCGGTTGTCATCAACTGTGATAGCAGCAAATGTATCTTACCAGGACCATCTGCCTTCTCCCGTCCCGAACTGGTATCCTCACGCTGTTTACCCCCGGCACCGGTGGAAGACTTCGGTCCGGAATTGGTCGCACCTGAAGGAATGGACGACACGGGGGCAGTGGTTGGGGTGACTAAAGGTGCAGTATTTTTGCGTTTATTCTGCGCTCCAATTCGCTCGTCTTTGGCCGAATCAGTTCGTGTCGAATGCATGATACGTTTCGGCGTATCTCCTCCTTCTACGTCTGCCTCAATCTTCACGGTCCCAGACGAGGATCGAGTGCTGCTACCGCTAGTCGATGTGGCAGTCTTGCTTTTACCGGGATCCGATAAATCTGTTAGTTGAATGTGTTTGTCCCCGATGAGTGGTCCGAGACGAGCCCGTTTGCCCGACGGCGGTGCTCCGGATTCAGTTGTATCTACCGTGGATGGAGGATGAAAAAAAAAAACAGACAAAGCGTGAAAGCATTTTTTTTATATTTCTTTATTTCCTAACGGCTCGGCATTAGGGGAGGTTAACAATTGAGTAAAACAAACGAGATTTTGCTCGAATATTCCCGAATCAGAGAGAGAGCTGATAGAGAGACCGTTCACCATTGGCCTGAATGCCCGAATGCAACAGATGCCAACCAACATTTATACAGTCACTGTCCTGATCTTAACACCTGTTGGAACATGAAGACCTTATCGGAAAACTAGTTGTTTTCCAGTATCATGAGTAGTTTGCATATTCCAATGACAATCAGTGGTTGTCCGTCACCAAATATAAGGCGGACTTATTCAAGTCATTGATCATCAAAATTTTCTCGCGGGGAGTTTGTCGATGTGAGAATAGTTATGCGATCGAATGCGACAGATTCACAAACCACTCGTAGACCTCAGAAGGAAACGTTCCTCTGGGAGCACACAACTGGTTCAGCAGTTATTGTCGCTAATCAGTTGTGCTTTTCCGAAAACCTCTCAGCGTTCATACACTATAACCCCCTGTATGTATTTTCTCAATAAATTTATGACTGCCATCTCGAAAACCGGGGGCGCGGGGTGTTCTCAATAAGAGTTTCTTGTGACGAATACTGCGGGAATAAATGCCATGGTTTAAAGTCATATTCGGGTATCAGTTTCAGTTTGTAAAACCAATTACGATGCGACTTCGTGCGGTGGTTTCTGTTGTTGCCTCATGGCTTCCCGTCTGGATAACCGAGTGAAGGGAAGATTGAAATGTTTAAAGCAGTGTCAGAGTGAAAAAAGAGAACTCATAAAGAAGTTTGCAAAGAAACTAAAAAGATGTACGAACGCCACTGTTTACGACATTTAGCGTCTCAAACCACTGGTTATCATGATCTCGAGATCCGCAGTCAGGGAGCCTAACGCGATTTATATGACAGAGTCTTCTGGTTAAGATTTCATACCCTCGTGTCAGGTCTTAGGCTGACCACCCTTGGCTTTTCCCACCGACTATCTCCCTCGGCGAATATCGCTCGTCGTGGCAACCTATCTGGTGACATGCATAGCACATGCCCCAACCAACGTAATCTATGGAAGTGGACCACTTTCTTCAGTGGGCGACCGTGGTTACCTAAAACTCTGCACCGAACCTCAGCAATTTCGCATAGACAGCGTTGTTCTAACACTGGCAGTTTATCTTTAACTTATTTTTGTAATGACCAAGTCTCTGCGTTGTATAGCAAAACTGGCCGAACTGCCGCAGCATAAACTCGACCTTTCACAGACAGCTGGATATTATGACGACGCCACAAAGGACTCAAGTTGGCAAATGCTAACCGAGCCCTCTATATACGAGCTAAACTAAACCTGTGACGCGTCCACCAGTGTGAGATATAGCTGCCCAAATAACAAAACTCGTTCACCGGTTATTATTGCTTTACCAGTCAGGATGAGGCTGGGTGCTGTACCAAACCAGTCTTGTAGCAACATTGTACAACGCATGCCGGATATGGTTACACTGGTACTCAACCTATTCAGAAAAGCTTGAAATTTACGTGATCTTCACTTAACAGTACAATCTCATCTGCATACGCCAGATAAGACAATTTGCCATCTGGGAGCAAATTGATGCCACGCGGACAGGGCTGTTTCATCATCAGATATAGAACGAAGTTAAACAGAAAACGAGAGAGGGAGAGGCCAACCCTGACGAAAACCGCTTCCTGTGGTGAACTCAGGCACAAAAGTGCCGTAAGCTTGGACTCAGCTACGGCTATTACTATAAAAGGATTGCATTATTGAAATAAAATTCTCTAACGGACATTAAAAAACAACAGAATCAAGAAACGACTTTGTGCGCCCAAAAAGTGAGTTCTGAGCAGTTCACAGATTTATGGAAGGGATTTATATCAATATTGTATTGTATTGTATTGTAATAACTTCTGCAAGCATGAAGCCCACATTTCAGTAATGATACATTCCCAATAGGGAAAATCAAGGTAAAAAGTGTGAAGTGGACACAGTGTGAAAGCCAAGAATGAATGAAAACAGATGTAAAAGTGAGAAAAAATTAGAGTAAATGAGACAAAAGGGAGAATGGAAAAGGTGTCCCACTGGAATATAGAGCAATCATTTCTATGGCCAAGGTAGTAGCAACGTTTCAACCGGCTTACGTTGCTTGCACAACTCCGGCCTCATAATCCTAATTGCCATGGTTTCTGCAGTTGTCAAGATCTTCTTACGCAATCCTTTAGTGTGGTTCTTAGATTTTGTGAAGAAACTCGCAAATGACGTTCCTGAATCAATCCTGTGTCCACTGTCGACCAGATGTTGCAGGATTAAGCGGTTCAACATTCTCAGTTCTTTTTCGAAAAGCGGCCGGACAATGTTCAGATTATCTGTTAGATAAACGCGTCGTTGTGTTGTCAACTGAACACTTGGCACACACATTCCTTCAACATCGGCTCACGCCTTGTATTAATGTATGTATTGAATAATGGAGCTATATATGTAATTGGCTGAAGCGATAAATCGAAAAGAAACATACAAACCACGAGGCATTTCCAAAATTCACGAAAACTGACTTTAAAAACAAACTCATGTTCGGGACAGTGTCACTTACCTGAGCGCGATGTACCAATACCCATTTCCGGTTTGATGCGTTCCGCTGCAGCACCGTGACAAGAACCACCGGAGGAAACGGCTGATTCGGTCAGACTATCTCGTGTGGCTGATCGCTTCACGGATCCCAATTCATTTCGCACAGGGATGAAGGATGTAGGCCTACCGGACGCGGATAGATTCGTCCTAGTTCGTGTGCGTCGTCGACTAGGATTGAGCGGCTTTCCAAACATGAGACGACGTCGGCGCACAACCGGTGCCATCGTGGTTACAATATCAGAGGCGGTTTCTGTGGTTTGGCTTTGATCACTTTCGTCCTCTCCGTCTTGCTCGTCCTCATCGTCATCCTCATTATCCCCGTCACCATCGTGCTCCGCGTCCCCTTCATCCTCATTTTCGTCAGATTCCTCATCGTCTACATCCTCACGATCATCATCATCACCTTTCACATCAGAAACCGACTTGCGTAGGAGACGGCGTTTGGCACCAGACAGTGGAGGACCGCGGCTCTTTGAACCTCTTTCGCCAATAGTTCGTCCACCTCGACTTCGAGTCAAACTGTCCGAAGTGGACTGACTGGGCCCAGACGCACGACGATGCTTTGTTTCAGTACGAGTGGATGCCCATTGTTTAGATCGGGGCTCTTGAACTACTAAATTTAGTGAGGAACAGGAAGGCGGGCGGAGCGAGTCAATTGGACGTGCCCATTTGATGATTGAACTGGAAGAAAGGAATAGACACATGAGAGGGGAAACTGGCATCAAATCATACAGTCTCTCGGGTGCGCATTCTACAAAAGAAATGGTTTTACTCATGTGGAAATCCCTGATTCTAAGTGAAACGAAAAGCGGCATAAGCGATCAGGTTTGCTTTTAGCATATTTCAACGGTTAACACACAGATAATTGTCTTGTAATTGAAAAATTAGGCATACAATAGTTGAACTCAGGGCATGTCATTCCTCCAAAACCCGAAAACAAGTGAAAGCACAGACTCGGTTTGTGTACTGATACCCGTATCGAATTACTGGTGATGGGAACAGATGATCCGCAGACAAGAACTCACATGATTCGTGACCGAGGCACAACTTCATCGTGTCTGCGATTCCAACCCATATAATGAACGCGGTATTGCATTTCCGAACTGGCCGACCATTTCGCACGGACATATGCGCTGTTACTGTTGTTATTGTGGGAATTCTGTTCGGACGTTCGGGAACACAATTCCGGCTGCGGTCGGATGTGTTTCAACACTTTGGCTTCGTAAGCCACCCGATCGCCACAACGTACACGAACACGAGAACCGATTGGGATAACCTGTAGGAGTTGTGCAAGAGAACAAAGGCTCTACAGTTAAGAAATCAAGCAAAGAGAAACCGCAACCCGTTGGAGACTAGATCCCCCCCCCCCTATCAATGTGATGTGGAACATAGCGAATTGGAACATAGAGGGTTGGGATTGTGCTAGCATTCGTACATTGTATTGCCATTTTATTTCAACACGAAACCAACTATACAGAACTGATCAACATTTGAATAAAAAATTTGTAAAATGTGTTCATAGGTTGTGTGGGCATGTTATCTCCTGGTTGCCCTGACCGAGGAAGAGGAATAAACTCGGGGTCCTCACCTGAAGCCTTTGGCTAGAAAGTCAGACTTGCCACACAACGGGACAGAGCTCAGAGTCCGCAGTTCATTGGAGGCCGGTGTCCAGTTCAGTAGATTATACGCCCTTTGGACGGGGTCAAACGTCCAACGTGCTCAATGCACTTAAATGCCCAATCGAGCTGGTGGTCACTGCCACAACCGGGAAGATGTGTATATGCGGTTCTTACGCCTCTTCTTGGTTGGTTTCTAATCAGAGTTTTTAGCTATCTCCTTTAGGTGAACTGCCAATGTTTCACCAACCCGGTTATAGCCCCGGATGTTAACTTTTGGTACCCTTACTTGGGTGTGAAAACACCTCTACCATGGGAAGGCAGTGAGTAGGGCTTCCTTAGCAGAGGCTATTTGAGAGGCTCGGTCATATAAGAGTCACAACCCGAGACA